CGAAATAAGAATGCTACTACCCAAAGAAGAGTTAAAAAGAGGCGCTCAACATCTACGCAATCTTAACTTTTGGTGCCTAGAACAAATAACTACAAGACAAAACAACACCATGTTTATATAGCAACAAATTAAATTGATCTGAGGAGTTAAAACAATGGGGAAAACTCCGCAGTGGTTCCAAAAGCTGGAAGAGGTAGTGTTAAAAAACAAACATTCTCGAAAGTTAAAGAGAGTCTTCATCCAAGAAAAGGAGTTCAACAAGATTCAAATAAAACCTAAAAAAAGAAAGCTATCTCACAAAATATCAAAAAAAGAATGGGTAATTAAATCAAAAAAGAACGACAAAATGCTATTCATAGGCAAAATACAAAAAAAACCACTGAACCAAAAGTTATATATAATAGAATAGGAAGAGGGGAATAAAGAGAACGAACCATCTAACAACTCTCTCACATCATATTTAACTTCCACAAATAAGACCTTTAAAATAAAAGAGAGCAAAATTGAAGATGTAAGCCCTTGGATCAAAAGAAGAAGTGAGAGAGGCTGGGCCTCTTCAATTAACCTTAAATACCTCAAAAACCTAATACTACCAGTGGAAGAGAACTTGGAAGAAAGAGAGGAAACAGAAATAGCTCACACAATTCTATCTGAAAGCTGAGAATCATATTTGATCAAAAATATAATAAAAGATATAGGTAAACAATATGAGCTTACGCAGGCTTTGAGAGAAAATATAATATATAAGGAAATGATATTTTATACAGATGACTCACTCGTAGAGGGAGGGTTAGTAGACCATACAGCAGGGTATGGAATTATTCAACTAGATAGTAAAGAGACAATAGTTAGAGAACTCAAAGGTAGAATTCAAGAGTGGTTTTCCTTAACTAGATCTGAACTCGTAGCAATTCTTATAGCAACCCTGATATCTCTGAACAATAGTAAGATAGATATTTTATGGATAGTCAGGCAGCAATACAAGTAATAGGAAAAAGCCAAAAAGCCAAAAGTACTAAAAACTGGTGCAAGATGAAAAATCCTTGTATTCTCGGTATAATTGTCAAGATCCTAAATACCAAAAGAATAAATATCCAACTTCACAAAGTAAAGATACATGCTGGCAACTGGTTAAATGACCTAGCAGATAAAGCAGCAAAAAAAGGCACTCAAGAAAGCGAATTAACTTCCATTTCTATAAATGAAACACAGTGAATAATGCTTAGGCCGATCTGGAACAGACACCTAATTGATGCTCCAATCCGAAGCTTTATTAAAATGTTTACGCAAATCTTCTACAAAGTCGACTAGTTATTTACTCCAAGCCAGAGAGACAATATACACCAAAGAAGAGTTGAAAAGCAAGACTGGAAAATCTTCAGAAACTTGTGAAGTAGAGAAAAAAATGGAAAATCAAGATCGTTAAAATTAAACAAGAAATAGAGTTTTAGACTCAAAAGATTGAGTGGTCTTCTACCAACACTGCAGTTAAGAAAGAGAAATCGTGGAGACCTATACACAACAGCAATCTGTCGGAAATGCAAGAAAAAAGAAGTGAATTTTGAACATTTAACATCATGTGAAGTTGACGAATCCCACTGGTCTGAAAAGGAGTATTCAATTGCAAAAGAAATCTGGTAGAACCTAGACGCTTCCGTTCAAAAGAAAATTTCGCAAGACAATATATACTCAGCATTTGTGTGTGGAAGTATCGAGGACAAATACAAAAAGAGAAATTATCTAGCAAGAGGACTAATCGAAAAAGATCTGATAGCCTCTCTTAAGTCAACAGAGATCACCAGAAAAGAAATAGAACTAATAATACTCGAATGGTGGTACAAATGGCATAGCTTTTTCCAGGAAGAAATCTGGCTCCAACACTATGAAGAAGTTATAAAATGGGAAAAAGAGCTGCAAATTAACTCCAAAAAAAAGAAGGAAAAAAGACCCCGGAAAGATAGGAGTTCAAGAAAGGAAAATGCAGTTAGATCTGAAGATTCTTCAAACGTGACAAAAAAAAGGCCCAATGGGGATAAGAAGGGAAAAAACTGGTGGGAGGTCTTTAAAAAAAGAATTGATACAGTAACAGACAAAGTAAATAAATGGATTTGGACCGGAAGATGGTCCAGTTGGTAGATTTCTAATTATATAAGGCTCTATATAACTGAGAATTTATCTCTTATTTCTATTATTGCAAAAAATAAATAGTATCTTTTTATCTTTAATTTAATTTCTTATTTCATTTAGTTAGAAATAATTATAATATTATGAAGTTCAGTGATATTGGCATTATTAGTTTTTTGAGGAAATGTATTGCGTTATTAAGACACTTTAATGCTAAGTGTAACTTGGTTGCTTGAAGCGAGTGGGCATAGAAAGATTGGGGTTTAGTGCAAGTTGTGGGAATATTGGCATTTGCAAAATTTAGAATAATATAAAACATAGTTTTCCAATATTTGTTTAATAAAAATTGATTTAAAATTGGTATAGCTAGTAGGTCTAAATTTAGTTTGTCACTGATCTGAGTAGAAAAATTTTCCTAATTTTCTGCTAATATTTGGTTATATAGATAGATTTTCTATTTCTTTTTCTTAGTTCTATGTTTAGAGATTTCCAAGTCAACAAAACAATCATATAGTCACAATTAGTAATACCAGCTAGGTTAATAATATTAGGCAGGTTTAAAGTTAGAATTGGTTCAGCATTTATCTATATATTAGCAATTTGGATTTTGCTATTTCCACATATTTATGTGGGTGAATCTACTGCATAAAAATTAAGTAAGCTGACCATTGACACTGTGCCCAAGGTGTGAAAATTTAAATTTTGGGATTTGTTCTGATTAGAATTATTATTTAGATTGCTGATAAGTATGATGTTTTACTATTTACATCTGGCCTTATTTAACCAAGTTTTTATTTGATTTTGAGTTGACTTACATAATTGGAAATAATTAGAAAAGAAATATACTAAGATGAGCCGAAGTTTTGTATTTGCTAAAAAGAAAAAATCTATACAGATCACAGTTCCAGAATAGAATTGGATATTATGTATATAAGGTTGAAGAAACAGGTAGAGAGCTATTGCAGTTTCTAGACTAGCTTCTTGGAGGGCCAATATATTGGGCACGTGATTCGAGGTATAGATTTTGTAAAGAGGTTTGGATAGTGCAATTGGGTTATAGTTTTTTAATTTTGTTTCAGTCATTGAGATCATATAGTAATCTTCTTGAGCACAATACTCCAGGAATAGTTGAAATTTTAACTCATCATTTAGTCCTTGAACATTATAAGTAATGATATTTAAATATTTTTTTATATCTAGGCATGTATGTGTAGATAGTAAAGGTAGATTAGATAAAAAGGAGTTAGGGTTTGAAAAATTTTTAATAGACTATAAGTCTGCTTTAGTAGTATGATTATTCATGAAATTGGAAAGTAGTTATTAAAGATATCTTATTTGGGCTCAGGTAAGTTAAGTATGTTGATAATGTATGCAGAGATACCTGCGAAATTGAAGTATTCTTTTAACAAACTTATTATGGGTTGGATTGCTTCTTGCTCTGTTATAAGTAACTTCAAAGAAGCTAGTTTGTTGATGTCTTTTAAATATATGAGAATTTTATTTACTGTGGTAGGAAGTAGGGGTGTGTCTGGTTTAGCATTTGAGCTATTAATTATTTGAATCCAATCATCAGAGATTTGATGAAAATAGTAGTGCTCTCTAAGGTCGCAAGCTATATTAACTAGCTGCTTAGAGCTAGTAATCAGAATAGTGAGGTTGACTAAAGTTACTTGTTCATAATTTTCAGATAGTAAGGGTTTGTTTGTTGGGTTTGCTATTATATATTGCAGAGAAAAAAGAATGTTGAATTTATATGTATTGTGGATTTCCTCTATAAATTGTTTAGCTAAGATAACATCAGTAATTGGAAAACTGTAAGTTGTGTCAGTTTTTATTTGAAGTGGGTCAGTTGGCAGTGGTTTTTTATATACAAAGTAATCGTTGAGTAGTCTTCTAAATCTATAATGCTCTTTGAGTAGATTCACATAAAAACAGAGATCAGTTTTATTAATAGAGTTGCAAGAGAAGTAACCTCGAGTTGCAGCATTAAGTTCTTGTGGTGTTGATAGTAGCTTGGGTTTTGCTGGGGGTAATTTGAAATAAGAAGATGATATTTTTTGCATATCATAATATTTCATTAATTTTTGTCTATATTGCACTAAATATAGTAATCTTGATCTTTCAGTGATAAGGAACAAATCTCGCACTGCAAGATTTAACTTTGAAGGATTGTCAGAAAGTTCTTCAAGTGGGTTCTCAAAATAGATATTAGGAAGATTTGAAATTGATATATCTTTCTTAATGCCAAGACTGTTGCTCTGGTTAGTTTTTGGTCCACTATAGAGAGCAGAAAAGGTAGAATATCTTTGATGGAAGTAGGTATTTCAGAAAGTGTTTTCAGTAATAGGTAAGTGTTTGGAGATAAGCTAAGTCAATTAGTTTGTATAGATCCTCAAAGCTTAGTGAGCATGTTATCTTTGCAAAGTTTATCATGTACATAATAATGCAAACACAGTTATGCAGGCTTGTAATTAAGAAATCTGTATTGCAAATATAATCTAGAGCTAGTTTGGTTTTAAGTTTTCTGAAAAATTGGTCTCGATTGGTTTTGTTGATAAATCTAGTCTTGTATAGTTTTTTGTATCTTTCTAATGCTATCTAATATAAGAAATTAAATTTTTTTTGGTGTTTTTCAAAATGTTTGAATTTCTGTTTAATTGCTTTGGGAATATTATGTTTTGATGAGTTGGTTTGTATTTTATGCTTGAAAAATTTGAGGAGTTCATCTTCAGAATCAAGTGCACTAATCATTTTGTCATTATGCCAAGTTTGGTAGTCAAAATCTAGCTTATGTGCTTTTGCAAGTATTTGTGCAATAGTGTTGGCCCAGATGACAGTGTTATCATTTCTTTTAAAAATGGACATATTTTTCTTGGCTACCTTGCTATAGGAAATTCTGGGTTTGATTCTATTGTAGTATTGGATTTAGTATCTATTTCTATATTCTTTGGTTGTATAGCTAAGATTTCTGGCCCTGGGACCTTGAGTCAGAATTCCTGCAAATTATTTATTTGTTGTATTTCCATTTCAAAATCTATATACTCAATTTGGGTATTTGATGAGTCTGGAACCTGGGTTTGAAGATCTACTTGTGGATTGGGTTTTGTTTTTCTCACAGTTGTTGTTTCGATTTCATGCGATGATGTTATTTGGATATCTGATAGGGGTAAACCAGATTTCATTTTTTGATTTAATAAAGAGAGAGGTGTAGCAAGAGGTGAAGGTGTAGGGCCTCTAAAAGAAGGCTAGTTTCAGCTTGGGGTTTTTGTGTTGTTTTTGGTTTTTTTTTCTTTGTTGGTTTAGTGTTGTCAAGAGGTTTTGGAGTTTGTGATAAAGAGTTTTCACCTGACTTCCTTACTGGGTGTATTAGGCGAAAAGAGAGTATTAAATTAGGTATGAAAAATGATTCGAAAGCTTCAGGTGTAGTGAATGATATGGGTCTGTCTTGTTTGCCTATCTTGTGAATAGGATTATTTTAGTTACTTATATAGGGGGCATGCCAACTGTTGGCTTAAGGGTAGGGTGAATGTAGATTATTTCTTATATAAGTAGATCAACCAAAAAAATATTACACAAAAATTGAGCACATGTTACATATAAAAGTTTTTAAAAATGTAATCGATTTTTATAAAAGTTTTAGGGTAGATAGATTAAACCCTTCAAATTCTAATTATAATAATTTGAACCTCTATATTATTTAAAAAAAACATACTTGCATATATCATTAATTCTTCCTAGGTTGATCGAAATTTGCCTAGGTTATACAATATAAATATTATATGATCATCACCTGATTTCAATTAAATGTTATTGTAAAAAAATTAGTAACGTGATCACTAGTAAAAATGATCGATGTTCACCCTACCCTTAATTAATTGATAAGCTTCGAATTAAAACTTTTGCCATTGTTGTTTGTAGAATACTATGATTTTTAGGAGTAATGAAAAAGAATTTTAGTTTTATTTGATAAAAATTTTGTTAATAGAACTTATCATATGTTTATAGTAAAAGTGATTTATTCATTTTGATTTACTCAAAATTGATGCTATGATTTGATTGTGGATAAGTTATGTGCCCACACTTTTTTACTAGGTAATGTTATTTATTTATTAGTACTATATATCCTAAATATGAAAAAAGCAGGAAAGATCGACACTGCTAAAATTAGATTTTTATAGAAGAGAAACAAATTGTTTCTAAAAACAATTTGTCCCTAGAGACAATTTGTCATAAAAATTAGTAAAGCACAGCCGCTATGTACCCAGTATTGGTCTAAAAGTATTTAAGCCCTATTTTTTTGTTTCAATAAAGATAAGTTGGAAAACTCATTAGAGTTCGACTTATAAAAAGTTTAGTATTTTAACTTCAAAGTTTTGGTCCAATTACACCCCCCTAATAAGTCAAATCTGCATAAAATTAGTAGTCTAATCTTGTGACATAATCTAGAGCTCTATTTCGCCTTAATAACTCTTTCATGCCTCTTTCGTAGCCTACCACCATTAGAGTTTTAGAGTAGTGTTTAGATTCATTTTAATATCGATTTATATCTGTATTACATATATTTCCTGATTCCAGATCAGTTTTTACACTTACACCATGCCCACTATTTTGAGAATTTATGATAAATATATTAATGCAGCCCAGATATTATATTAATGCTAGCCAGATGATATATTAATACCAGCCAGATAATTTTATGCAGAATCATATTAAAAATCTTGTATGAGCTAAAAAATCCTGCACATCACATGCATGTCTGTCTCTGCTTATAACAAAAAATATATATAAAGACCTGATGTGTACTTGAATAAAGAATAACTCACCTTCGAGTTCTAACTATGAAATTATAATAGAGTAATTTCTTTTAAACGCTTTTAATAAAAACATTGTTTTGATGCATTATCCTTGTTTCTGTGAT